CCACCCAGGCGCCCCTCCACAGTTTTGCTTTTGCCCCTCGCTGAGAGATCTTAACTCTCTGCCCCGTAGCTTGTCCTATTTTTAAAGTTTTTTATGATTATGAGGTATAGTAGTATCGCATTTAAAGATTTAAATATGACTTGTATGTGGAAATCTTTGAGTAAAAAAGTCAAAGAACCTTCTGCCTTTTCTTTTTTAAATGTTTGTTTATTTTTGAGAGAGAGAGCGTGAAGAAGGGGTAGAGAGAGGGAGAGAGAGGGAATCCCAAGCAGGCTCCGTACTGTCAGCCCAGAGCCTGATGTGGGGCTCAAACTTACGAACCGTGAGATCATAACCTGAGCCGAAAGCAAGTCGGACGCTTAACAGACTGAGCCACCCAGGTGCCTCGAACCTTCTTCCTTTTGAAGTTTTAAGGTTTTATCTGCCAGTAGGATCAGTACCATAATAGGGCAAGGATTTTATAAACTATGATTTGCCACCAAATGGACATTCGCTTTCTTTTTCTTTTTTTAATACATTTCCTATGTAACAGTATTGTTTTCCTCATCAGTACTACAGATGAATTTTAAAATGTATGCCAGTATCTTGAAATTAATATTGATTGTAAATTCTGCAACGCGTAGATTAGTAATTTGTACAAATTGTAAATTCTACATAGCTAATTTTTCAGGTACTGTTATCTCATTGTTACATCAGATGTATAAAACTATGGATTTAAATGTTTTCACATTGAAAACTAATAATAAAATTAGGAACTTTTACCTTGTGGTGGTTTTATTTCGTATTCTAGTCATACATGTTGTTTTCTCAGAGAACGAGGAACATCCGTGATATTTTGTAGTTCCCTTGCGTTTTTCTTTTGAAGTATACGGCAATTAACATGAAAACTAAAGTCTAACTTTACATGATTTCATTAAAAAAGTAGAAAGAAGTGTAGCTCAGTTAAATGCTGAGGTCAGCGTAGCAGCTGCTGCAGGCCCTGGTGATTGTGAGTCATGGGAGCTAAGAGTAGGAATCCATTTTTATTAAAAGGCCTGTAAAGAGAGAATGTGCCTTTGTTTTCTGCACAAAGGCTAGAGTAGTTAAATCAGTCTTGAAACTGTGCTGTGTGTCAATTGAAACAACAAAAGAGAACCCTGTAAGAGCTGTTCTCTGCAGCCAGGTTAACATGTGAGAAGCGCACCGTAAACGATCTTAGCCAGAAAGTTGTAGAGTATTTGAAATAAAATTCTGCTTCTTTTGAACTAGAATTAGGGAGAATTGACTTGGCGTTTACGTTTGAAGGAGAACGGCTTTCCTAAGACGAGGCCAGTGAACGTATTTTCTCTGGAACGATCCCCACTGGATCCCGGGGACTCCCAAACACGTTGAGAAAGAGGCCGCTTCGCCCGACTCGTGTAGGAACAGCTCAGTTATGGAAACGCCGAGGTCGGAGCCAAGGGGCTGACTCGACGGCGGAGGGTTTCCCTTCTGCCCTCTGATCTCGGAGGAGAGCCTTCCATCACACCCCCCTCTCAGTTTTGTCTTTCTTCCTCATTAGGCCGATTTTGTGAAAATCGCCCACCCCGAGCCCGCGTTCCGAGAGGCGGCGGAGGAAGCCTGTACAAGCATCGGCACCGCGGTGGAAAAGTATGTTCTGTCCCCGCCCCCTCCGTTGCGTCTCGGGCGACGCGGCTTTGTGGATTTGCGCTTTCG